TTTATACTTTCTTTACTTATCAGATTCACACATCCTCAAACGTATTTTTTTTTTTTTTTACTCTTTTCCCAGTGTGTGATCTGAGGCTGAATCTTTATAAAAGCTCCACACCCTCTCTAGTGTAGATGTATCTCACTAATTGCAAGTCAATATTTCAACTAATAAGGATTCTCCAAATTTTGATTGCTTCAACCTCAAAGACTCATTTAGGCTAACAATCCTTTGTCAAATATCTAATTTCTCAAATAAATGATTGAAACTTGATCAAGGCATGCGGTAAGTAAATAAATAATTATTATTTTTTTCTTATCTTACGTGCAAACTTTTCTTCATTAAACTTTCTAAATGACCCTTCTAGTGAACTCTAAGCCAGTGACTCCCAAATCAGATGATCATAGATACCTTTGCAAGCTCAATTACTCAAAATATAAAGGCTACGAATAGACATTTCACAATGAGATACTTTATTTTTCTTCGATTTTTTTCTTTTTGTCATGATTAGTTCAATACCCCTCATTAAATACCAATTCTCAAAAATCGACCATAACTTAAGATTTTCACATAATTTTCATCATATTAGCTTTAGACAATCCACACAAGAATTTATACACATGGAATCCCCATTAATATCCATATCTCCTTACAATAGTAAATCATCTCCAAACCATTCTAAATTTGGTCGAAAGATGTATATTGCAATAATTTTTGGATTTAGCATCTATATTCTACTATTCTATATACCTAGTATATGAATTAACACATTATTTTATAATGCTAAACTTAATTCATGTGCGCAAAAGTATCAAGTTTTACATAAATAATAATCAATTAATCTAAGCGTGTAACATATCCACGCTCATAAATTAACACGTGATTTCAAATATATTCGTCGGCAAGGCTATCTAACCTATACAAACACATAATAAACAAAAAAATCTTTTTGAAATTTTTAAAATTTTTGCAATCTTTTCAATTTTATTTTTTTATATATAATGAAGAAGTAGAAACACACAATCATACAAGAATAATAAAGCTAAAAACTCAATATTTTTTTACCCCCAAACTTATAATAGATATTGTCCTCGATGTCTTAAAATATAATCCAAAACATAAAGGGGCGAGAAAGAAGGAAGAGGTACTCCCCAAATTTTTGTCTAATATCTGAGGTGGCTCGTTGGATCAGTTCATTCCATTCCTTTCTAACATGCCTCCTGCTTGATGTTCATGTACCTTTGAAAGATAAAAGAAGATAAATATGAGAGTTGAGAGCAATTTAAATGCAATAATATAGCGTGATGATAACCAATTTTTTTCTAATCCTTGGAACTTTGAAAAATATGCCACATGTGTTTTTTCTGTTTTCCCCTCAAATATATGATTTTCTTTTAATAAGCTTAAAATATATATGATGACCCTCTTATTGAAACAAAAACATGACTAAAATTAATGCGCCCTAATAGACTATATACAATACAAATACAGAAAGTATAATAAATAAAAGGGTACGAAACTGAGTTGCCTTCCAATAAATGCTTAATTTAAAGTCTTTATCTAGACTTTTGCACAAGTGCTTCATGTCATTTTGAATATGGCTTTGGAGGCTCTACTCAACTTGCTTAATTTGACTTTAAAATTTGCACACAAAGATTGATTTAGACTTTAAATAATGCACGGATATTAGAGCAGAACAATTTCACATATTGATCACCTTTAATTCTTAATTCAAAATTCACACCCAATGTAGTGTTTGATCAAATTCTTCTATTGTAGTCAATTTACTTCTCTCGCATTCCTATTGAGTCTATTTAACTAATCAATTACATATCTATGTGCAAATCAACTTTAGTTAAATGAAATTCTAGTTCTAAGAATTTAAACAACGATCATAATAATAAGTATAAGTATCTCTACACGTTATAATAATTTACCGAATTTTAATACGTGGTATAATGGATTCACATAATCACTGAATAATTGCCCAAAGAATTCAAAACATTAAGTATATAATTAAAATCAACACATATGCATATAAAAAATTTGAATTTTGAATAAAAGAATAAAGGGTTTTAAAAGATTACATCATTCGCCCTAATATAAATTTAACTACTCATGATAATGGAAGAATATTTAAAGAATTGCATCGAGTACATCACCAAATTTTGAATTGAGATGTAGAAAAGATGATGAATCTTGCACCAAGTTCATCTTCTTGTTCAAAATCTAGATTTCAAACCCTTGAATTGTTGTTTTCCTGTATTCTCTATTGCTCGATGTGTGGAATCCCCTTTAAAAGTGTCATAAACTTGCATTTAGAGTCGCCCCCGTTTGTATCAAAAGTATAGTTTTTATGGATTTCAAAACTGGTCAAAAACGCTCTATAGATGCACCTAGGCGGCGGCTCGGCACCATAGAAGCGGCGCCACGACTCTATTTTGGTAGTGTTTCGGCGCCATGATGGTGGCGCATCGACACCACCTTTCAGGTAGAAAATCAAACTGCACTTCTTTCAGTATTTTAATTATAACTTTCTCTCTCAATATCTGAATGAGGCAATTCAAGTTGGGTTGTAAAGATAACTTAAAATGTTATAATTTTACTTGAAGTAGCCATTATCCAATTCGAATGTTTACTAGATCAAAATTGGGTTTCAATCTTGAGCTAAAAATCTAGAACATACTATGTGGTTGAAAATCTACATCATGCCAATATTTTGATTATATTTCACTCCTTTTTACTTCTAATTGCATCCAGTTGACCTTGAGCATTCTCGAATCTTCATTATGAGGTTCGATACAACTTCTAATTATTTAATTTTTAGTTTCTAAATTTTGGATCTTGTCATTTTTCGTCGATTTTCAGATTCTTTCTTTCAATTTCACTTCAATTCATCAAGCTTCCCATAATAACAGATTATTTAATAAATTAGGCTACAATTTTATTAAAAGAACTACAAAATGTCCATATTTTAAAGCACAAATAAGTGTATAAAATACACTTATCGATGCTATTGATTTTTAGCATTAGTGGCGCTACGACGCCCACTTTTGAGTGGAGAAGCAACACTATGTATCCTTCAATATTTTTATCATAATTTTTTTTTCCTGATACCCAATTGAGACAATTTAAAATGCGGTGGAAAGATAAGTCAAAGGGCTGTAACTTGGCTTTGGATGGCTTTCTCCAATTCGAATGTTTATTATATCAAAAATGGTTTTCAATATCTGGCAAAAAATGTATAACGTACTTGTGTTGTTGAGAATTGGTTTGTAAAAATATTTTGACCATATTTCACTTTTTAACTTCTAATTGCATTCGGATGGCTCTTAGCAATCTTTGATTATCATTTTATGGTCCAAATCAACTACTAAAAAGTTGCAATTGAGTCCTCCAATCACTAAGTTTTATTCACGTCTTCCTTTCAATTTAGCCTCCAATCACTAAATTTTACCAAATCAATATCATTTCTTGATTTATGCCAAAATTACTCTTTTCTTCCACTTTCGCACCATTCATATCAATTTACCTAACCTATAAAACAACACGAAAATACAAATTAAAATGTTCTAAAACTCTAAAAATCAAACGAAATACCAAGATTAAGTAGCATTAAGATGATGAAACGCACTCATCGATATCTTTCCATACCTCTAGTGGGCCTACTTTGATTAGGTGGCAATTGTCCTCAATTCTTATTAACACATGTATTTAATCCACATATTGCTAGTTAGAAACATGAGGTGGGAGTGTGTTAAAAAATGAATTGATCCGTCCCTTCCCACTAAAACTTTCTCGACAGTCAATTAGTCAACTTTCTTAAAAATTCGACAAAATAATCTTGTAACTTCCAAAACGCTAATGACTAACCAGAGCCGTTTGTTCCTTTACTACAAAATTTTAAATAATACAGTTAATTTTCTAGAATCAACTTCAGTATAGATCTAAG